TGGGTTTGGTCAACTGAATTAGGAAAACACAAGGTTTATTATGGCTATCCTAATAAATCTAAGGTTAAATGCTTGAATTGCAAGAATGCTGAAATGTACCTAGGATCGATGGCCAATCGATTCAASCCGAACCCTTGAACCAGAATTCGGTAAGATTGATTTTCTCTTGTTTGTTTAGTTTGTTATTCTTTTAATTTTAGTTATTAAATTTTCCCACACAATTACTTTATCCATTCGGCTAAGAAATTACTGATTTGCTCCCTGTGGGATTCGACCTAGAACCACTTTTACTGCAAATATTTTATTGTAGGACTAGTATTAATTTTGAGGGCTTCGACAACCCGTCAGCCAACATGCAGGCAAACATCGGTTTGCTTTAGGCCGAGATGCAGAAACTTCAAGTCGATTCTGAGGGGAAGCATCAGCGCCTCTACCAAATGAACCAGAATCTGCAACGTGGGCTGACCCAGCCACAACACGAGCTGATCGAGGCACATTGCAAGCTGGAGGAGAGGTGGTTGAAGTGTACTCAGGACATGCACCGAGCTAGGGAAGAAGTTGTTGCTCTTTATTTGTAGTCCCCGGAGTATGAAAAGAAGAGGGTGGAGGATGGTATCCCTTCAATGAGGAAAGGTTTCAAATTATGTCATCGTTATCTAAAGTCCCTATATCTCGCTCTTGACTTCGGCTCTATCTCTGTGTGCAGGGTTCCATACGAACTCGTCGTGTAGGTCGAGGAGGGAGGTGACGAGGAGGCCCAGGTTGGTGATGGTGGCGAGTAGCTCGACCCTGTAGCTTGGCTGGTTTGGTGGTGGTGGTGGTGGTATCTCTGTAATTCTGGGGGCTGGTGTGCTCTTGGAGGCTTTTCCGAGTCCTGCTGCCCTGTTAATGTCTGAACCATTGAACACTTTCTGTTGTTTTATTGTTTTTTTTTTGTGTGTGGCCATTTAGCCTCCTTCTTATATGGCCATTTGGCCTTTCTTTCTTAATAAAAGTTGTTGTTATCCCATCCTGGTTTCTGCACTGCTCTCTTGGCCACTATGTTGAATAGCTCGGCTAGATTATTGCCCTGTTGTTAGAATATGCCTCTGTATCTACAACCTTGTTAATTTCGCTTCTTGTGATTTTTGGTTGAGCTGTTAGTTGACCTTTGGCAAGCTCATGGATGTAGCTCGAAACACTTCGCTTCAAAGGTAGTACCTACGGAGGTTATCTACATTCTAGGCCCAGAGCATTGCCTTCCCCTTAAGTGTTTCGAGCTCATACACAGTCCTGCCTGTGATTCTGAAACCCTATAAGGGCCTTCTCAATTTAGGTCGAGCTTTCCTACACCAGGATCAGGCACCATGATTTTCCTGAGTACCAGGTCACCAACCCTAAATTGGCGTCTCTTAACTCGGGCATTGTAGTACTGAGTTACACGTTGCTGGTATGTTGTGGTTCGTATGTAGGCCAGGTCTCTAACTTCTTCTACTAGGTTGAGATTCACTCGTAAATCTTCTTCATTTGACTCTTCAATGAATGCTTCAGATCGCAACGTTGGTACCTCCATTTCAGTTGGTATTACTGCTTCGGTCTCATATGTTAAGTTGAAAGGTGTCTCACCTGTCGCCGTCTTGGTAGTGGTTTTGTAAGCCCATAGCACGCTAGGTATCTCATCCACCAACAAACCCTTAACTTGGGAAAGCTGAGCTTTGAGGCCATGTAGAATGGCCTTGTTGATTACTTCAGCTTGTCCGTTGACTTGGGGGTGTGCTATCAAGGTGAAATTCTTTCTTATTACCATATGGGTGCACCAATTCTAGAACTTGATATCTTCAAATTGCTTCACATTATCTAAAATCAACACTCTAGGTAGCCCGAATCTGCAGACTATGCTTCACCAAAAGAAATTTTAGACGTTGTTGGGAAGGGGCCCAGCAAGTCTATGTCCCATTACACAAACAGCCATGGGCTGGTTAAGTATCTCAGGTCAGCAACTTGTTAGTGTAGGATGTTTGCATGTCGTTGACATTTATCACATCGTTGGACTAGCTCGGCCGTGTCTGCTTTCATGGTGGGCCAATAATATCCTTGCTGTAAAGTTTACAAGGGCCCTGTCTCCCAAGTGTCCTCCACAGAGCCCTTTGTCAATCTCGTGTAGCACTTGGTCTGCTTTAGTTCATCGTAGGCATCGTAGGTAGGGCAGTGTGAAGGACCTTCTGTAGAGCAGCTCGCCCACTATCATGTAGCGAGTTGCTTGTCGTTCTATCCGCCGAGCTGCATTTCTCTATTTTGGCAATGTGCCATGTTTCAGGTAGTTGAAGATCAGATCTATCCAACTTGGCTCAGTAATTTCTATGTGGGCGACCTCTTCTACCCCTTTTTCTATTGACGGACTTGGTAGCTCTTCTATGTAAATTGTTCTTTTTATCGAGTCAATCTTGCTCACTAGTCTCGAGAGGGCGTCAGCTTCTGTGTTTTCTGATTTCGGAACTTGCTAGAGGTACCAGGAGTGGAAGTTGGGCAGGAGTTTCTTGACCTTAGCCAGATAGGCCACCATGGAGAGCTCTCATGCCTCATAATCTCTGTTTACCTAGTTCACCCCTAGTTGCGAGTCGCTGCGGTTTATGAGATGCTTAGCTCCTACCTCCTTTGCTAGTGCCAGCACAGCTATTAATGCCTCGTACTCGGCCTCATTGTTTGAAGCTTAGAACTGAAACCAGAGCGCATATTCCAGCTTTACCTCACTAGGTCCATAGAGTACCAACCCAACTCTACTTCCACCTTGATTGGATGAGCCATCCACATGGAGTATCTAGGGTTCCTCGTCCCAGCTCACGATCTCACGAGTTGGGAGTGGTGCCGCACTGATTGAAGCCTCCGATGCTTTTGCAGGCTTAGTCACGTCAGGGACTAGCAAGCTGAAAGTGCACTCAATAATAAAATTTGCCAGAACCTGTGCTTTTGTCGTCGGTTGTGGCTCATAACGGATGTCGTATTCACTGAGCTCTATTGCCCACTTTGTCAGTCTCCCTGAGATCTCAGGCTTCTGAAGAATTTGAAAGGGTTGATAAGTTAGGACGACAATGGTATGGGCCTGAAAGTAGGGCCTTAGCTTCAGGGCAACCAGCACCAGCGCAAAGGTGAACTTCTCTGTATTAGGGTATCTTGTCTCGGCAGCATGCAGGACCTTGCTTACGTAGTATACTAGTCATTGTACCTTGTCAATTTGTCTTACTAGGACTGAGCTAACCACCTCTCCACTCACAGAGAGGTAAAGTCTGAGCTTGTCCCTAGTCTTGGGTCGAATTAATAGGTGAGGTGAACTAAAGTATACTTTTAGCTCGTCAAAGGCGAGCTGACACTCTTCGGTCCATTTGAAAGCTTGGTTTTTCTTTATAGATTTGAAGAAGGGAAGACACTTCCCAGCCGATTTGGACATAAATTGGTTTAAAGCTGCTACCTGTCTGGTCGATTTCTGGGTTTCCTTAACCAAGCTAGGTGGTCTCATGTCAAGGATTGCCTGGATTTTGTCTAGGTTAGCCTCTATGCCACGCTGGCTGACGATGTAGCCTAGGAACTTTCCTAAGGTTACATCGAAAGTGCACTTGTTCAGGTTACACTTTAACTTATGTTTTCTTAAAGCACTAAAAACAAGGTTCAAACCAGCAACCAAATTATTTGAAAAACGGGATTTACTACCTTGTCATCAACATAACATTCTATTTTGTTTCCAATTAAATCAGAAAAAACACGGTTTACAAGCCGTTGGAAGGTCGCTCCAGCATTTTTCAATCCAAAGGGCATGACCTTATAGCAGTACAGGCCCATTTCGGTTACAATAGCCGTCTTCTCTTGTTCTTCCAGTCCATCAAGATCTAGTTATAGCCAGAATAGGCATTCATAAATCTCAGCACCTCGTATCCTGAGGTCGCATCCACCAGGCATCTATACAAGGTAGGGGAAAGCTATCTTTTAGGTAAACTCAGTTCAAGTCCATATAATCTATGCACATACGCCACTTGCCATTTGCCTTATTTACCAGAATTGGATTTTCTATCCAGATTGGGTACTAGACTTCCTTTACAAAGTTCACTTTTAGCAGCTTTCCCACCTCTTCATCTACTATTTGCCACCTTTCCGGGGCGGAGATTCTCTTCCTTTGCCGGACGGGTCTAACTGTAGGGTCAACGTTAAGTTTGTGAGTTATGAGTCCAGGGTCTATGTCGGGCACTTCTACAGCCGACCAAACAAACACATCTAAATTATTTAATAGAAAACTAACTAGTTTGGAGCGTACAGGCTCTGTCAGGTGAGCTCCAATTTGTAGTATTTTTTCAGGTTCTGTCTTCAAGACAGGGACTGTAACGGTCTCTTCTATTGGACGAGCTCACTCAATATTTTTTGGAGGTGGCTCCAAATCTATGTCGGTGGCTATCTTGCCTTTTTCTTTTAAGGCTGCTATGTAGCATTTTTGTGATTCCAACTGATCACAGCATAGCATGTCTGCTCTAGTTTCTGTAGGAAATTTTAACGCCAGGTGGTTCGTAGAGACAACAGCTTGGGGAGTGTGTAAGATAGGTCGCCCCTAAATTGCATTATAGGGAGATGAGGTGGCAACCACTAGAAAGTCATGTTTGAAACGTATGATGTAAGGAGGCGAGTCTGCCCCAACTAGTACTCTTACCTTGCCCATGGGGTGGACTACCTCGTCGTTGAAACCAACTAGTGGGATATTGGTAGGTTGTAAATATGTCTTGTCAAGCTCCATACGCATGAATGCTTCCAGAAGCAGAATGTCTACCGAGCTGCTTGAGTGAACCAAGATTCTCTTTACCATGAATCATTGATCAACAGTTTAACTACTAGAGCATCATCGAGTGGGTACTGGATCCCACGCATGTCATCTTTGGTAAAATAGATCACTTCTTTTTTCTAAGGTCGTTTCAACGGGTTGATGTCTTCCTATTCCTACTCCCTAACCGAGTTCTTGCTTGCTAACGTAGTGCTGCCAATGACAATCGAACCTCCGGTGATCATGTTTATGGTCCCATAGACCTTTCTTTTTGGTTGCTACTAATTTCGAGGAGCTGGCTCCGACTCCCTATTGACCTGGGGTGCTTCCCTGCTTCTCCCTTCCTCAGGTCACCGCTTATCTTTGATGAAGTGTCAGAGGTAAACTTTCTTAATGAGATATTCTATCTCATTCTTTAGGTTCCAACAATTCTCCGTGTCATGTCCCACGTCCTTGTGAAAATAACAATATTTGTTTGGGTTTCTGGTGGTAGGATCCCCCCTCATCTTGGATGGCCATTTTACAAAGTCATTTGACTTGATCTACATTAGAATCTCCTTTGTTTTAGTGTTCAGGGGAGTGAAGGTCCTGGTGTATGTGGGTGGTGTTGCTGATCTCTTGTTCGAACCTCTAGCCGGCGACTTGCTCCTCTTGTGCGGTGAGCTACTGTGCCTGGCTTTTGGTGACTTGCTCCTCTTGGGGGATTTACTTTCACTTATTCACTTGGTCTTACTGCTATTTGCTTCTTCCTTTGCTCGCTTCCTTTTTCCGAACAGGTCAGACTTCAAACCCATTGCTTCCTCAGCTTTGATGAACTGGTGCGCTATGTCAAGAAACTCTTCCATGGCAGCTGTAGGGTGTAATTTGATCTCCCACTTCAGTTAGGGGTGTTGTACCCCATTCTTAGCTGCAATAAGTTGTATGGTGGGGTCTAAGTTTAGGATTTGAAGGTGTTCCATGTTAAATCTTTTGATATACTCCCTTAGTGTTTCATTTGGTTTCTGGATCACATTTAGTAAACAAGTCGCCGACTTGGAGTGCCTCTTGCTTGTGGCGAACTGGTGCTAGTTCTTGATGGAACCGGGGGCTAGTCTAGAGTACCAGAGCCAAGCTTCTTCCTTTAAAGTTGTTGGAAAAGCTATACACATACTCGCATCATTTGCCCCATGGAGCAGCATGAGAGCTTGGAAGCTATTGGCGTGCTCGACTAAATCTGTCTTGCCTTTGTAGGATTCAAGGGTTGGCGCCCTGAAGTTATTCAGTCTTGGAGCCCTAAGGATCTCAGGGGCCAATGGAGTTTCTCAAGTTAGGTAGGGGGGTTCGGAGTGGGAAACCATCCTGCTGGTGGTTGTGCTGTCTCCTCCCTTTTGGACTTCACTTCCTGCCAAGGAGAGCTGGCTTTTCTTCCTGGCACGGAGCGTTCGCCTCTTGTCTCTCTTCCTTAATGCCTTTAGTCGAATTGGCGGCTTCTGTCCCGACGGGAACCTCAGCTCGGCTCTCTGCCAGGATCTGATTATCAACGCAATTTCGGTTATCATCTTTATTGGGGACTTGGATTTGGCTACGGACTCGCGGAGGTGCTGGATTTTCTAGGTCAGCCTGGTTTGGACCGATGTTCTGTAGTGGTACATGCTGATTGTTTTGAGGTATTCACCGACTGTTCCAAGGTACTTGTTGGAGGGGTACCTACGGAAGTCGTTGCTGTTGTTGCTATTTCTATCCCCCTGCCGTGATGGCAAATCTATTCTCCCAGGACCGTAGCTGTTTCATCATCCCTTGCACGCACCGTACCAAATCGTTGAACTGGTGCACATCAACCACTATGGGAGCTACTGTTGCGGGCTCAACCACGGGGGGAGGTGTGTTCACATTGTCCAACGGCATAGTTCGGTGTAAGGGAACGTTGGTCTGACCAATGATAGCAGTAGGGACTTGGCCATTGACATGGGCGGGGGGATTGCTTGAGGATGCCATTACTAGATTTCTGAAAGAAAGTAAAAAGAGAAATT